CGGATGCTGCCGTCTCCCTCGCCGCTCTGCAGCTTCTCCCGCTCAATGGACCACACCAGCTCCTGGACAAACTTCATCTCCGAGGCCACCTGCTTGGCCAACGCCTCGTAGTGGTTCTCCAGCTTTCGGTAACGCCTCTTGAGGCCGTTGGCCACCTGCACCACGTTCTTGGTCTCCTCCTGCGCCTGCTTCTTCAGGGCCTCCGTCTTCTGCAGCTCCTGCCGGATCTGGCGGAGGTCCTGGCTGATACTCTCGTTCTCCTCCTTGTACCACGACTCCTTCTCCTCATAGATGGACAGCAGGGCCTCGATGTCCTCCTGGAAGGACTTCTTGTTCCTCTCCAGCTCTCGGAGGCTCTCCTCGGCTGCAGCCACCTCCTCCATGACCTTGGAGAAGCGCTCGAAGTTGATGTACGTGTTGTTTGGCGGCATGCTGGAATGGGACTTGATGGTGTACTCCTTCAGGCGTGTGGTCTTCAGCCGGCGGCGCTCAGGCTTCTTGCAGTTGTCTTCATTGCGGACGTTCCTCCTCTTGATCACCTGTGGAGAGGGACAGCCGCCGGCGTGGGGCATAGCCGGGACAGCGGGAGCCGGACGGCTTCGGCACCCGCCCACGGTCCCCCGGCAGTGGCACAAAACCAGCCCCAACTGGGGGTGGGAAGAGCAGTGGAGAGCTGCCGGGGCATCAACACCCACCCTCGACCTCTTGGATGTTTGACACCCAAAAGGTGCCGATTCTTTAACTTCTCACCTTAATCCAAGGATGTTCCAGGCTTTGAGCGATGGTCATCCGCTTCCTGCAACGACAGCAAGGGCTGCGACCGAGGGGCAGAGGCTTTGCTGCCTCTGTCCCAGTTAAACTCCAGGAAGGGCAGCTCGGATCCTACCACCTTTGGGGCACGGATGAGCCCAGGCAAACTCGCTGTACTCAGGGGCCGCCCCAGACAGGGGCCGCATCCAGCTCCCATGCCCTCAGCCAGCCTCCCAAGGGCAAAGACACGCAGAAGAGCCCACACGAACCTCCCGGCCGAGGCACAGCACCGCTGCTCCCGCCCCAGCCCAGGGTCCTGGCTGCTCCGGTCAGCCCTTGATCCCTTCTAAACCCCGTTCCCTCCTTTTCAGCTGAGCTGCTGCACCCTCAGCGTCATCCCAGAATTCACCCCATGCCTGACGGCGGGGAGGGACTTTGGTTTCAAGATGTTTTGCAGCGGCGAATCCTACAAGCAGCGGGAGGGAAACAGGGGGATAAATGGGATTTACAAACAACCAGCACAAAAGGGACGGGCAAAGGCCTCTGGGCTGGCAGCAGGCAGGCTCCGAGCGCCGGCCGGAGACGTGGGAGCTGCCTGCACGCGGGGGTTCGGGCAGGAGGGGCCGTCCCCTCTCCCAGGGTACTCCCCAGCTCTGCTCCCTGTCTCTCACTTGGGGTCCTTGACGAGCAGGCGGCGGATGAAGTCCTTGGCCAGCTCGCTGGTGTTGCTGAAATACTCCTCGTCGAAGTCGTAGTTGACGGCGGATATGTTGGTCAGGGTCTCTTGCTTCGTTTCCCCCAGGAAGGGGGAGGCTCCGCTCAGCCTGCGGCGAGAGCGGGTTGTGACACCCCAAAAAGGCGACAGCCCGAGGCGGGGGACTCGCCCTGCGGCACCCGTCTCCCCCCGACTCCCCTTATACTCACAGGATGTAAGTGATGACCCCGATGCTCCTGGAAAAGAGAGGAAGACGAGGCTGAAGCCCCACAGAGCGCCGCGGGTCCCCTCTCCCTGCGCTTTCAGCAAGAGGGGAGACAGGCCGGCACGAGCCCGGTCCCGGGACCCGGCCGCTGGCGCCACTGGAAGGCGCTTGGGAGGGGACTCACTCACCACATGTCGGCCTCCAGCCCCAGGGGTTCGTAGTTCACGATTTCTGGGGCTTTAGAAGGAAAGAGGGGAGAAAACAGGCTTATTCTGGGAGAAAGAAGCCTGTCCCCATGGACGCATCCCGGCAGCTGCCCAGCCTGCCGCACCGGGGCATCTCCCCGGGATTAAGCCAAAGCTGTCAGAGCCCAGAGGAGCCCCACAGGAACACCGCCAGCCGGGTCTCACCTACAAACTCCGGGGTCCCAAATATGTTCTTGAATTCATTCCCAGCTTCTATCTTGTGGGCGATCCCGAAGTCGATGAGTTTGATGCGAGGGTTTGGCACGTTCTTGTCCAGCAGCATGATGTTCTCCGGCTGCGGGGGGAGAGGAGCCGGTGTTTACCCCCACACGCTCGCCCGTGGGAGCCTTGTGCTGCCCTGGGCTCCTCTCCCTGGAGGAGAGGACACACGCCTCAAGCAGGGCGAGGTCCCAGAGCCAGCCCCACTGCTCCGCAGGAGCCTGGATGCTCGTCCCTGCTCCCCAGCTGCCGAGCACGGGGCGGGTGCACCTCCCAGACCTCACCTTCAAGTCGAAGTGGGCGATGCGCTTGGAGTGCAGGTAGTGCACCCCGTCCAGGATCTGCTTGAGGAACTGGGTGGCCTCCTCCTCCGTCAGGGACTCCTTCTCAGCCAGGAAATCAAAGAGCTCGCCGCCCGAGACCAGCTCCAGGATCAGCACCACGTCTGTCTTGTTCTCGAAGATGTCGTGCAGCGTGATGATGTTGGGGTGCTGGATCTCCCGCAGGATGTCCACCTCCCTCTCGATCTCCTCCCGGCTCACGCCCCGACGGCTGGACGACAGCCGACGCTTCTTGATGAATTTGGCCGCGTATTCCAGACCCGTTTTCCTCTCCCGGCATTTTCGTACAATGGCAAACTGGCCGCTGCGGGGTGCGGGGAGGAGGTGAGGAGAGGACCTCCTGCATCGCACGTGCCGGCGTGTGCTTGGCAGCGGGGTCAGCACCGGCACGAGGATGGGGGACGCTGCGTGCGGGGACGCTGTGCTGCGCAGGAGGACGCACGGTTTCTCCGGGCTCTGTCGGGAATTGGGGTCCTCCCGGCACGCAGCCAATGACGCCTGCCTGCTCCCGGCACGCTCCCGGGGCTTCCCCACCCTGGCACCACCGGCGCACGCGTGTAGGCTCCAGCGCTG